CCAGCACTTGATTCACAGGAGAAAGATGACGCATCTCCTCCTCTGTGATTTTCTGTCTGGTCTCTGGTAGTTTGAAAACAACCGCTCTGACTCTGCACAAACACACAGGGATAGGCTGAAGATTATTTGTGACTATAATTGGCCTGCATGGTCAAGAGCAGATGCTTGATAAACCCAGGGTTAAATGCACATGATGAACTTCTTGAGAATAACCTGGACAAGAGCTATGCACAACACTCCAGAGAGAACCCTGTAAGTTCCTTTTACAACGGACAAGACTAAGCAGGAGGCTTGTTTTCATTTTGGGAGACTCATAGTCCACATCTGTCAATACTGCTCTCTCCCAGTCAATGACAGTACTGAAAAGAAAACAGAAATGGCCCTGAGCAACAGCAGGTTATCTAAACATTAGAGATAGGGGTCTCTCCCTCCTTCCCATCAGCCCCTTAAGATTCCTACTCACACTAGATTTTCCTGACACGAATGGAAGTGAACAGCCAGAGGGTCAGCTTTCCAATTACTTGTGTAACTAACTCGAGGCCACCAGCTGCTCTACAGGAGAGGGATGGACACTATGCTTCCATGCACCTAACTGACCCTGAAAACCTGCTATATCCTAACCATCAGAGTTCCACAACACCGCTTTTGGGCACCAATTGCTTAAAAAATATATAAATGAATGAACGAATGGATAGATAGATAGATAGATAAATAATAAAATTTAAGAACATAAAGGATATTATGCAAATCAGCACAGCACTTGATGTGTCCATCATGATTTAGGTGATTAATAAAGAAAGTGGTATCAAAATCAGTCTCAGAAAGCAAAAATGGTGTATAAAGTAACAAGACAGCGACGAAGCCAAGAAGCCAGGGAAAACTTCCTCTCAAAAGAAATATACTAAATGGGGAGTTCTGGTGGCCTAGTGGCAAGAAGCTGCAAGGCAATCCCAGAGATATGTGGTTCAAATCCACCAGATGCTCTGCTGGGGAAGGAGGGACAATCTCCTCCTGTACCAGTCAGATCTGATTTGACAGTACTCACACAAAAATAGTAAAATTAAAGAAAAAAAGAAATATACTAAGTGGCTGAAAAACTTAATCAGACTACAAACGATACCAAACTGTCCATTCCAGACATGTAGCTTCTCTGGCAACAGTGAACTTGACGTTTAGAGCCTAATGCGACAATTCAATCCTCATGTACTAACTGACATCCAACAGGAAGCAATCCAAAGTGTGGCAGCTGGGAGGAGGCAGAGCCCACTAGCAACGAACGTCCATCATTCCTGCCCATCATTCTGTCTGAGCTGCAGCATAACCAGAAAAGTGTCTGCTGCTTAGGAACTATTCCTCCACAGCTCCC